ACTAAGTCTTCGTCTTACTCTCTCCAGTTCTTTCAGTCTTCTGAGTTATAAGTGTGGTTCTTCCAGCATATGATAATCATAGTTTCCTCTCTTATACCTGTTATGATTCCACCCTCTACGTCTTCTTCTGCCCCAGCGATGTCTCCACCAATGCCTCCAATACCATCTCCTCCTGCAATTTCTGTATCTTCGACCTCTGCCATATCTCTAAAATGGAAAGTTATTTATTTGTTACCTACTACAGTCCTCTGAGTTATAAGTTATATATACCTATAGCCATACTGCCAACATTCCTCAGGCATTAATAAGATCCCAATGTTTGGAAAGCTGGAAATATTAATACCTGTTTTTCAAAAAAGGAAGCAGTCTGAAAACAGCTCTTGGCCAGCTAGACTAACCTCTTCCAGACTCTGTTATGAACGAGGCAGGAGCAGGACATTTAGAAAATTACAATACAGTTCAGCAAAATAGTTGTGGTTTTGTTAAATGGAAATGGTGTTTGACAAATTTATTGCAGTTCTTTGAGTATATAACAAGCAAGATGGTTCCAGAGGCATGTATTTTGATTTCCAAAAAGACGTGTGATAAGAAGCTACATAAAGGATAAATGAACAAGACAAGAAATAATGGTGTTGATGGTGATATATTGACATGGATAGAGAACTGGCTATCTAGCAGCAACCAAGGTCAGCATAAACATGTATTTTCCAGATTGGCAACCAGTAATTACTGGAGTGCCACAGTTATCAGTGCTGGGGTGTCAACAATTTACAACCCAAATTCATGACTTGGAAAAAGCAACTGATGATGTTGTGGATGAATTTGCAAATGGTGCATAGAAAGATAGGAAAGAAAGTTGAAGGGGATTCAAAGAAGCAGCAAAGCAATATAGATGGGTTAATTAGATTTTCAAAAACAGGAGGCTGGTGTATAACAAGGAACATTTTGACGCAGTTTTGTTCACTTTATTTAAGCAGGGATTTAATTGCACGGGAAACAGTTCAGACAAGGTTCCTGAGATGAATTATACGGAAATTATGTCTTCCGAGGAAAGATTGAGCAGGTTGGAGTGAACAGTTTGGGATTTTGAAGTATTGGGAGGTGTCTTCATGGAATAGATGCTGAGAGATGTTTCCTCTCCTACGGAGTGAAAGATAAAAGGCATGTAAGAGATGAGGAAGAATTTCTTCTCTAAATGTCATTAGCCTTTGGAAATATCTACCTTAGAGTGTAATGGAGGATTGTTCATTGAATATATTCAACATTGATTTGGACAAAAGTTTGCTTCCCACGGGGGTAAAGGGTCACAGAGATAGACAAGAAAGTGGATTAGAGGTCACAGTCAGAAATAACCCTGATTTTAATGAGTAATGGAGCAAACTCAATTTGCTGAATAACCTACTCTGTCCCTGATATTATGCTCTTATATCTTTATTCCACAGATATGAGTGCTTTTAATACAGAGATTTCTCGAACACAATCCATCTTGATTAACCAATCAGGGCTGACTTTTGGTCAAACCTGTCAATCAGCCAGTTGTAGATTTCAGTGTCCATGAATGCAAACACACACTTGTTTTAATGTACTTCCTTCCGTGGAGCCATAGGATTAGCCCTCATTGCAGGAACAAAGCACATAATATCGTTTCGGTGTGGGGCTGAGGGATTGCTGCATGGTAAATGGAGGAAATTGTCAAAATAAGACTGGTCATGTAGGTGAACAAAGAAGACGTCATCTTGTTAATCAAAATAGGAGCAGCAAGCTCTCCTGCTCAATAGCTGCTTCCTCAAGCAGCGTCACCAAAACCAGATTATTT